TTATTATTATTATTATTATTATTATTATTTATTATCATTATTATTATTATTTGTTATTATTATTATTTATTATTATTATTATTATTATTATTATTATTTATTATCATTATTATTATTATTTGTTATTATTATTATTTATTATTATTATTATTATTATTATTATTATTTATTATCATTATTATTATTATTTGTTATTATTATTATTTATTATTATTATTATTATTATTATTATTATTTATTATCATTATTATTATTATTTGTTATTATTATTATTTATTATTATTATTATTATTATTATTATTATTTATTATCATTATTATTATTATTTGTTATTATTATTATTTATTATTATTATTATTATTATTATTATTATTTATTATCATTATTATTATTATTTGTTATTATTATTATTTATTATTATTATTATTATTATTATTATTATTTATTATCATTATTATTATTATTTGTTATTATTATTATTTATTATTATTATTATTATTATTATTATTATTTATTATCATTATTATTATTATTTGTTATTATTATTATTTATTATTATTATTATTATTATTATTATTATTTATTATCATTATTATTATTATTTGTTATTATTATTATTTATTATTATTATTATTATTATTATTATTATTTATTATCATTATTATTATTATTTGTTATTATTATTATTTATTATTATTATTATTATTATTATTATTATTATTATTAATCTCATTATCAGTTTTCTCATTGTTATTACGATTATAATTATTATCAATTTATGTTATTGTCCTCCTAATTAAGCTATTGTTGTATGTATTATATACTTCTACTTGGCCGGTTTGAAGCTCGTTTCTTTAATATCCTTATAAAATTTATCTCCTGTAATGGAATGTTTACTCCCACTTATGGAGGAAATTTATTGCGCTTTAAGGTTAAAAACAAACCATGGGAAGACTGACTCAAATACTGACTATTATTTCGATTAGTGTTCCTTTGGTATGCGTACAAAACGTTGCTCTTCCTTTGGATGGACAACAAATTTGCGATGAAAAATGGCTGACGGATTATTTGGAAGCAGCAAAACAGTTAGAAAATCTTTGCTTTTCCAAGTACTTTCTTCACCACTATTCATCTCTTGCAATAATTATGACAGTAGGGCTTCTAAAACAGTGGATGACAACCTCTACTGGCGTCATGCAACAGCAGTAAGAGCCCCGCATATATACAGAACTAAGCATCGCCCTATAATGCACCGGTCGAATGGACGTTGCAACTGAAGAACGTTTACGAAGCGTTGATTTATGGCACCATAATAAAAATTATCATTATTGTTATCACCTTTTACGTTGCAATTGAAGAAACATCAGTTCATATAAAACAATGAGGCTGATAACAGTTAGATGATTATTGCGGTAGTGAGACTGATAAGCATCATTGCAGATTCTCAGGAAAACGATCACAAGAATCGTCGTCGTTGGTAACTTCAGTGGATTCATTCTCACCTTCGGAATCCTTATCATCATCATCATTATCATCATCGTCATCATCAAAATCATCCAATTCACCTTCGTCAATCCGAACGAGCAAATGGGATAACGATGTCGTTGATACTTTGATTAAAGCATCATTCTGGCGGCCTTATGAACGTCAAAGAAAGAATAATCTGTCGAATATGATGCGTATTGGACGTCGTCGTAAGCGTATTGCTAATAGAAGCACCAACAATCAGCATTCACAACCTGCTGCTGATGTTGCTTCGAAAGTGTTTTGATTATGTCGTCATTATTAGCAGTTATCATGGCATGATTTTATTGGCTGAAATCAGTGATATTATTACTTGATTATTGCTATTATCAATGATTTGTTTGCTGCATCTTTGTTATGAATTCAAGCAATCTTTTATATATCACACGATAACATCGTGCAATAAGACATTAAATGGATTAAGCAACGCGTGTAATTGTTCATGTGAGACCATCCACACATGGTTTATGCAAATCGAAAAATAATTTCGGCGTTGCAGCTGATCAGAAAGATCATTCGTACAGAATGTCATTGAAAGATACTTATTAAATGTAAGAATATCTAAATTGCAACTTATCAAGTAATTTATAAAGTTTTAGTAATATTGATATAAGTTTAATTTGAACCCTTCCTCATGTTCTAGCAACATCCACTTGTTCATTTTAATTCCAGTTTCTCAAAATCCTTCTAGTGTGAGCTCACTCTTTCCCAAATCCTTCTCATTCACTCGCTAAACTCAACGAAACTCAATCATCAATCACCTTGAAACTGGCTAATTAAGTCCAATAATCATTAATGCCACCGTTTCTTAATTCAGGGACAACACCATCCAAATCCCACCTCAAGTGACTGATTTATTATAAAACCGGTCTTCAATCAAACATTATACAATCCATCTTTCAAATTATTCAAAGTTTGATAAATATTAAATAACAACAATCATTTTCTTATTGTAACTGGTTATGAGAAACAAGATAATACCCATCAACACACACAAATTATATACTTATGTAAATTCATCCAAAAACACATCATACATACAACAGCATGTATTATTAATTCGTCGAAGAATGGCGATTATCATTATTGCTAGAATCATTATGATGAATACAACTCCCAATGAATAATAAATAATAACTTCACTCAGCAGCAGTAGCAGCAATCCAGTTACTTGTTTCAAAAGCAAATCTTACATTCGGCAGTTGCTGCGATACTTCCAATGTCTCAGAAGGATAGTGAACTGCTGTAGCGGTAGTTCTACATTATTACTATTATTATTACTATTATTATTACTATTATTACTATTACTATTATTATTATTATTATTATTATTATTATTACTATTATTATTATTA